GCCCTTTCAGACCACGGAGCTGCTCATTGGGGGACTTTTTTGGGTCCGCCCACGTGACCCAGCCAATCGGCCTCAAGAGCAGGAGGATTGTGGGAGGTGGAGAGAAGCTTGTGGGGGAGAGAGAGGCTTGTGGAAAGCCGGTGGTGGCAGTTGAGGCTCTGAGGGTTTTTCCTGAGAGGCTGTTTTGTTTGGCGTGTGTGGTTCTAAAAATAAAGTTAGTTTCTTTTGACAAGTAGCTCCTGATTGTGCCCAGCCAGACTGCGGCAAGTGTGTATGCTAATATGCATTGAATAGAAAGTTTACTTTGAATGTTTTTAAAATCTTTGCCCAAGCTAGAAATATTCTGTAATATACCCCCTTGAAATGCTGGATAACTACAACCAGCCCCAGCTCTCAATGAGCCAGGCAATAAGAAGAGAGAACAACCAATACTCTATAGTGTACTAGGTCACCAGAGGTTTTTGTTGTTGTTGTTGTTGTTTGTTTGTTTGTTTATTTGTTACAGGTATTTGATAAATAACATGAGGTATTCAACACGTTATTAGAAAATAGGCCTATTGTTAGATGATTTTGCCCAACTATAGGCTAATGTAAGTATTCTGACCATGATTGAGGTCAGCACAGTTAAGGTATCTGTTTGGTTGGTTAAGTATATTAAATGCATTTTCAACTTTTGATATTTTATGGGTTTATTGGGACATAACCTTGTCTAAAGTTGGGAGTATCTGTACCAAGAATACTGTTTCATGAAAAAAAATATCAGGATAACTACTATTTTCTCCATGTGGTTATCAAGATCACCCCTTTTACTTCTAGAACGTCTCACCTATGTTGTATGAGAGAATTTCCTGACTTTCTTCCTGTTTTATAATCTAATCAGGTTAGTTTGCTTTGTTCTTCCATGGGGTGCAGGAAATGCTACCTCCAAATACGGCATGTGGACATATTTGTTCCTGCTGCTATAAGAAAGTACCTTAGTCTGGGTAATTTATAAGTAACAGAAATTTCTCAGGGTTCTAGAAGTCCAGGATCAGGCACTAGCAGATTCAATATCTGGTCGGGGCAGCTTGTGCCTCTTTGCTGTATCCTCACATGGCAGAAAGGGCCAAAGAGGAAGCTGGACTCTTTCTTTCTAGCCTTTTTATAAGGCACTAATTCCATCCATCAGAGCAGAACTTACATTGCCTAATCATCTCCTGAAAACCCCTGCCTCTTTTTATTGATAACCTGCACATTAGATTTCAACACAAATTTTAAAGAGGATATATTCAAACCATATCACTTGGCCTACATAGTGTTTTAAGCTGAAGGAAACAGAGGTACATGTCAGAAGCAGAAAGTTCTCCTAATCTGTTACCCTTCTCTTCTGAAGGAGTTCACAGAAACTAGAATTCTTCTTGCCTCTTATTCAGAGAAGTAGGCTATAAAACCTAGGAAGGGTCATTGTCTGACCTTCTTCCTCCTTCCTCTGTCATGGAACAGGTATCCTGCCCCATACCCAGAAGAAAGCAATGTTGCATAGAGAAGTCAAGTATCTGAACAAACAGACCTTGTTCAGTTGTCCTCTGCAGCCCATCCCAGTTTATTATAATTACATCATACTCCTCTGTCTTATGATCACAACAATTCATAAAAATACAGTATTACTTGTTTCTTTGGCTCTTCATATATGAAGGCTCTTGTGTTATAAAAACTTGCATTAAATAAATGTGTGTGCTTTTCTTTTGTTGATAATGTCTTTTCTTATAGAGGTTTCAGCCATGAACCTTGCAATAGGCAAGAGAAGGAATCTTTTCTTCCCCACACTATCTATTTTCTTCTGACTCAGAAAAGCAACCAATTTTGGATAGAAAAGGGAGACAAAGGTGATGTGTTTCCTTCTAAAATCACTGGCATCAGAAGGCTGAAAGCAGCCAGGCAACTCTTTTTACAGGAGAGTATTTCTCTTTTTTGGTCAATTTTTTTGACATTTACCTTAAAAGGCATGAACCATCACTTCTAAAACTTATTATACCTTTTTACAGGCATACTCTAAAAAGGTGATTTAATGTTACTCAAGTTCCTGAGAAGACTTATATGACTGAAATAATTGGGGGGTTATGGGATTAAACCTAGGGATGCTTTACCACTGAGCTATAAAAACAGCCTTTTTAATATAATGTTTTTATTTTGAGACAGGGTCTTACTAAGTTGCTTATGGTCTCGATAAGATCTAAGGCTGGCCTTGAACTTGCAATCCTCCTGCCTCATCCTTCCAAGTCACTGGGATTACAGGTATATGCCACTATACACGTCTATGATGAAAATTTTTATTACTATAAGCACAACCTGCCACTGCTTGACAATATCCCTGTTGATATGTGAAGTAAAAGTAGATGCTTCACTATGGTGATCACCATTGTCTGTACCTACAGAATTCTGTGATTTAACAGACATTTACTAAATGCCTACACTAGGCAAGGTGGTGGGCATTATTATGAGTACATGGTAATTAATAAACCAGATATGATCTCTGTGATGGGGACAGCAAAAATGATGTAAGTGCCAGACTGTCAGCAGCTTAAGGTCAAGTTTCTACTTTGTGCACTGCTACATTTTCTTTGCTCAGCAATAAACCATTGAACACTAACTGTAAGCTTTGGTGGATACTATGAAAGAGTAAGGTGAACATAAGGTGCTGTCTTACATAGACCAATCTAAGGATTAGGCAAAAAGATTCAATGTACCTATTTAGTTGCTCTGTGGCCATCATGCCATTGCTGCTTACCATAGCCCTGTTCCTGTTCTCAAAGTCCAAAACGGTAGAGAATCCTATTCAGTTTCTGAATTCACAGTTCATATAGAAATATTAGCATGTAGTAGGAAAGGTGATTTTAAGACACACTACTGTCATACTGTGCCCATAGTAATTCAGTTTAAAGTGCCAGTGCCTAAAGCAAAGCAATTTTTGACAGGGGACAGAAACACTGGAAGATCATCCAGTACAAAGAATCCTATAATAAAAATGAAAACATGATTCTGATTTTAAAACAGGATCAATTATCACACAATCAAAAAATTCTTCTCTTTTTTAGATGTCCAGAAGGGTACAAAAATATAAAGCAGGCATCGGATCTCACATAATGTATACATGATGATCATGCATTTTGTCTGCCTCTTTCTGGAAGACTGAAACTCTCGATAAATACTGAAGGAGTCTTACACAAGAATAATAATCTCTACAATAGTTTTACTGCTGTAATTAATTAGTTTTTAACTAACTCAATATTCTTTTTCTCTGAAATAAACTGCTGTATATTTTATTTTGTTTTCTTAAATATGATATGCAAAGTAACAGCCCCTTACATTTTAATATAGTTTTCAATCCCCTTGTGGGCAAACAGTCACACTTTAGTGCCACTTAAATAAAGAATAGCCATTCATCTGTAACATACAGATACAGAATGCTCTGGATTTTCATTTAAAAGTGCTTAATTACCTGCACGAAGACAGAAATAAAATAAGGAGTCCAAGCCAAGTTCATGAGGGTTTGAAATTACTTTTCTTTTTCTAAATGAGCAACAGAAACTCAATGTTGCAAGCTGTTGTGTGGCCATAAGCCAACTACAGAAGAAACTGTTCAAATGAATGAGGGGATCAGGAATTAAATTCAAATGTATGAGGCAAGAACCAAAATCAAAAGGTGAAAAAAGAAAGTTGTGTTTCCAGTGACAGGACAATATATTATATCTGAATGAAAATGATCTAATCAGCGATACAGTGAAACCCTCATGGTAAGTATCTGAATGTAGCCAGTTATGCAATCCAAGGTTAATTTTGAGGATTACCTATCTCCAAACACTTGTGAGATTATGCTTCCAATATTCCTAGTTATAAAAGTACTCAGCATAATTAAAAGAAAACATAAAACACAGTGTTAATTCATGAACAAAAACAGTAAAAACAAAAGAGAACTTTCAACATAAGTCTAAATTGTCATGCTCAAATAATTTGGGTTCAGAACCAAGACATCCAAGTTGGAAAGGAAAGAAAGTATATGAGAGAAGAAAAGGCAATATTTTAACCTTGAAACAAGGTGACTCCCATGTAGTTGTAGAAGGAATTAATATCAGATAAAGAATTTACAGTATTTATTCCCTCTAGAGATATAAAATGGTGAATCAATCTGCAGTTCAAGATATTTATTTAAACCCAGAGGAGGAGGATATGGCTTTAACTTTGAAAACCAAAATAGAAAAAAAAAACTCAGCTCTAATGTAGTTTATCTTTAGACACCAGCTTTAACATTAAACAATTCAAGCTAAATGCTATTTCTCAAGTTCTCCTTTCATATATTTCTAAAATTTATGAGTATACCACATGTAAAATAGGAGTTTGAAAAATATTTTAGCCAGAAATGCTTAATGTTTTACATTTATATGTATATACAAATATAAATTATAATTTAAATATATCACCTACTGATCAATTCATCTATTCATGCCTGCATCTATTTGTATTTCATAATCCTCTTAGTCTACTGATATTAGTCATCTTCCAATTGTCCTCCAAAACATACAAATGCCATCAGAAAATACACACGTGTCCTCAAAAAATGAATGCACAAATGCAAAAAGAAAATGAAAATCTCAGACCAAAAAAAATTAATATCCATCACCTCTTTTATGCTCTTGGTTACATAAGAAGATTCTTTCTTTTCTTTTGTTTTGTTTTAGGTCTAATCAAGCCTCATAAGACTTACCTTGCATATCTTATGGGCTTTCAAATGAAATTCTTCTTTGAGAAATGGCAATTTTCAGGTCTAATCATTCCCTTGCTTATACTCTATCTGTTTCTAAGCATCATGAAACAAAATTTATGCAGCTAATATAAAAACAGCATACACACAAATTCAACCAGACAGTGTTAGAGACCATGGAGTCTAGAATTAACCACATGGTAAATAGACAGACAGACACAGACTAACAAATAAACAAAATACTTAAATAAATAAAGGATATAGACATCTTTTCAACAAACTTATCATGTTGATTTTCTGCTTGGGGAACTTTCTTGATGTCACGTTCCAGATGAACAATTTGTTGTTCCATTGCTGCAAGGCTGCTCTTAAGATTTTGAGCTGAAACTAAATAACAAGGTGCAAAAGGTTTAGAATATTTTACCAGGTGTTCCACAAAATAACTAAAACCAATATCATTTAAAGTACTGTTTTAAAGTGTTGTTTTAACAGGGAGAACAGTTACATAAAGTCAACTCACATTTTTCCGAATTACTGCTCATAAAATTTCTACTCTCCATGAAATAAATGAAAATGTGTAATATAAAAAACTCATCATGTTTAATATGACAATGTCACCATTTTACTCAGCCATTAGTTCAATGAATCCATTTCCATTTAAATTTATTGAAGAAATCTCTAGTATTCCATTCTTTAAAATCTAATTTGAAGATTAAAGAGAAACTAAGGTTCAAAAAGACCTTATCTTATTAATGCATGTTCTTCACTCTATAAATGATTTAAGGTGAAATTACATAAAAGAATCAAATATTCCTCTTTTGTTGAAATATGCTGATTTTTATAAACTAACACCTGTAGTAAAAGTTTCCATCTTCAGTCATTCTCGTACTCAACAGAGATGTGAAAAATAGTTGTTGATATAGAAAGAAAATTTAGAGCAAACCCCAGTGAACATACATGCACATACACACCCACAAAGCTTCGGCATTCCTCAAACACTATCATTAGTTGCCTTAATTACCCCTAACATTCTCTGCACTTCTCTTTTTCTCTCATTGACAACTAATAATTTTAAGTATTGTGTTCAAACTGCATACTTTTCAGATCTCTCATGATGCCTTCTTTTCACAGAGGTACTTAAAAAGAAACTTTTAACTGTTTTATAGATACAGCATGACTGCCAACTATGTACAAAGACATCTGTATCACTATCATCAGAAGGATACAACATTCTAGTTAAAGAGACAAGGTAAGCATTACAACTCCACAGGTAGGCAGCCTGTGACACTGGATTTTAAGTCCTGGCTGCTGAGCCCTGTTCTTTTCATTAAAGACTGTGTAGCAGAAATAGAAAAATATTATATAATTATTTTTAAAGTAAATTTTGTTTCATTCAGAGACACAGCAGCATTACAATGAAAAATTTAAGAGATTGAAAAAAATCGACCTACTGACAAATTTCAACCAGACTGTTCTGATACAAATTCATCATGCTGACACACACACACCTTCATACTCAACAAGGAGAAATCACCTTAGATACACATGGAAGTTCAAGAGACTGAAAATCAAATACCAATAGTTTAGACTATTTTTTCTATTAATCTGTCAATTAAATAGCTCTGTCCAAGTTAGTTCCATTTGTTTAGATCTGACAAGCTTGGAAATCATTATTATTGGAGAATATAAGAGTTTTGTCTTGCCCAAAATTTGCTAATGATTCAGCAATCACTACTCATTTATTTAAAGAATGAGTTTGCTGGGAAGGAAAACATTCTTCCTAACTTTAAAATAGAATTTTTTTTCCCTTAGGTTTTACTGGTACATTCTCTATAACTCTGTAAAATTGTTCTTCCCCACTTACTTGAAACTAAACATATGAAATTGAACAGTTGCTTGTGTCATTCATGTTACACGGATGTGAAGGGTTTCGAGGCAGGCTATCACAAAATATTGCACCTTGTCATACTGAGGATTTTAAGCTAAAGGAATTTGAGAAATGACATGTATAGGAGAGACTTAGATGGTCCTTGAAAGAGGTCATAAGATTCTCATGTGGGAAGTATCCTTCTTAAACCCAGAGAAAACAAACCTTCTAATCTCTGAAGATGAGACAGAAAACTCTGAACAACAAAAGTTCCCTCATTCCAATGAGCTCCTATGTGTTTTTCTCCTATCAGGGTTTGGGATTCAATATTCTTCATCAAACCAACATAAAATGTTCAGATATAAGTGTTTTCTTGTGGGTCTTTATTTTTTCCTGAAAGTTACCATTACAGATAAAATTTAAATAATTCTAAATACGTAATTTTTTTTCTTTTCTTTCCTTTTTTTTTTGTTCTGTGTGGTGCCAGGGATTGAACCCAGGGCCTTGTACATGCAAGGCAAGCACTCTACCAACTGAGCTATAGCCTCAGCCCAGTAAGTAACCTCTGCAGGAGAGCTCCACATTTTCATTTTACCCTGGGCCTCACAAATTATATAGTTAGTCTCCAGATAAAGCACATATAATTTACAGAGTTAGATAGAGGGAGTGAGCAGTTCATTCACCTGCCAGTTCCTTCATGACTGTAATTCTGTTTTAAAGGGTGTTAATTTCTTGCTCTGGCTGGGGAGCAAATAGCCTGGTGGTGGGGGCATGTCAAAGAAAGGGTGCCCAGTAAATCTAGGATGATGCATACTCTGGACCTTGAACAGAGTATTCCTTACATCCTAAGTGGCTTATTCCTTTTTTTGACAGTTGAAATTGTTAGAAATTTTTTAAATTTACTTAAGACTCAAAACCAGCCTACCTGAACTCATACCCATTAGCAATAATTTTGCCTGCACTGATCAAGTCTACTCTGTTTTATGAAAAATGGATTAGATGCATCTTTTTAATCTACTCAGGTAAACCAGTTCCTTCAATTAGTCTTCCCATGATATGAAATAATTAATTACTTAAATTTTTACACAATAATATATTAAAATAAAATCTGTACTTTTTATCACTCATGGCACAAAGCCATATTACTTTTACACACAGCTGTGGAGAGCTGGATGCAGCAACAATGGTCTTAGGAACCGGACAGACGTACATTCTAAATCTCAGCCATACCAATTATTAGCCATACCAATTATAAGCCTATGGATTAGCTTCTCTGGACCTTCATTTCCTATATTTGCAAAATTCAGATGATAATACTCTCCTTAAATAAATGCCAGTCATTCAAGTTAAATGCTTTAATAAATGTAAGTATCTATCATTATATATGATGTATAACACGTTAATCCATAAATACTCCTTTCATATTTCATTACCTTCCCGTCTATATCCTCCTTTCCAACATACAAATTCTGTGTATGTGCCAACAAGAATTAAACAACTGAGATGCAATAAACAAAAAAAGGAAGAGGATAAGGAGGATAAAAATAATGAAGAAGAATCAGAGAAAGAGGAAAACAAAAAGAAAGAAAAAAAGCAGAAGGAAACAACAAAACTAAACCAGACTTATTTACTGCTACCTCTACTAGGGTCTGATTTCATTTAATATTGATCTTCTTTCTAATCAAGAGAAAGAAACTTAGATTGTATTTTCTATTCGTATATTTTAGAAGGTATGTGGAATTTTAGGTTTGGGAACCAGTGACAATTATACTAACAAATAGCAAATCTGTTTGAAATAGTAGTAAGTTTCAAATTGAAAGATGATTTCTGGAAACTGAAATCTATACAATAGTCTATATTTCCATGGAGACATTTATAACATAGTTATTTTGGCTTTCTAGATTTGTCTAAAACAAAACAGACAAAAATTTTAAAAAGTATTAGAAAAGAATTAATATGTGTTTACCAGCCTGATGACTTGCCTTAGATGCATTTGCCTCAATTTTAAGAGGGAGTCAAAGAAAGTTATGCTTAACTATTTAATCAGTCCACCTAACACTTCATAGTTATTAGCAGGGTGTGTCTATATGTATAAAGAGAAACAGAGAGAGACAGAAATATTTAACTGAAGGTGGCAGAGAGATGAAGGTACTCGGAGCCACAGGGATATTTAAACAAAAGTGTGGGTTAGGAATGCTTGTCTTCTGCACAGCCACAGCCTCGGAGTATATTTTTGTATCTGTCATTATATTCGTTCACTAATATAAATTAGGGAGTACTTAATGACAGTGCAAACATTTTATATCTGAGTAAATTCCCACTACAGGCATTTTCAATGACTGATTAGTCAGTCTGAAGGCACTTTAATTGTTTTCTCTGATTTCATTTTTACATCTACTATTAAATTACTGAATTTGAATTGTAACACTAAAAATTAAATTATAGCTATTGGTTTTTCTATTATAACTTTTTTTCATGTACTCTATAAATAAACTTTTAACATTAGTACATTCTCTTATCTACTTGTTTCAGTTGAAAAATATACATGCACATTTTCCTGACTTTGAGGAAATATGACAGTGGCCTGATCATCACTCAAAACATTTTAAGTGATAAAATTTTGCTAATTCATGATTTTAAGAAAGAAAAAGAAAAAGACACATATTTTAAGTGAGACTTTGAATAAAATGACTCTTCAATTACATAGTATGTAAGAAAACTAATATAAATTTAAGGAAAAAATCAGTTCTCTGCTGACATTCTCTAGCTCATTTCAAAATGCATAATTTTATGTAAATATAAAAGCTTTTCAATTATCTTGTGGATTTTTTCTCAGAATTAAATACTTCTATTAATTTTAACTACTGATTTGTAACAGAGCACTTCTTACATCTTTGCTCTAAGAAAGGCCACATAAAAATTTACTCTGGAAACTCTAAATATGAGCAGACCCAAACATGATTAAAATAACTCTGTAATGTTCCTTAACTGAATATTTTTAGTTGTAGAATTAGTATCAGCTGGACAGCACACCATTAAAGTGACTCATCCAGAAAGCACACATTAAAAAAACACAAAATAACAAAGGAATATTGGAAGCACATTGAACAATAAGCATTGTTTTATTCTTTTTCAAGTGCATTTATACATTTATAGTTTAATTTTATAGGAAAGCTTTACATGGAAATGAAGCAAATATGTTTATACAAACACAATAACAAAAGATCATCATTGTGGCTTCTTCAGATTTTAAATGGCACCCAAATAAGAAATCCATACAATAAAAAAAAATTGTATTAGAAAATGACTCATTCTAAGGAGAAAAAACTTGGTAAGAAAATTAACTTCTACAATAGTAATACAGAAGAATGAGATTGAGAGGCAGAGTGGAGGGATGGGTAACAGGAGGCAGTGCAGAATGAATACTTTAAAAAATCACATAATGTGCATATATAAATAAACTATAGGGCACGGTGTGGTGGCTCACACCTCAATCCCAGCAACTCCGGAGGCTGTGACA